TAGCCTGGTAGAATGCATAGTCACTCCTTTCCAATTCCTGTTGCCTGCCACGCTCATGCCCTACAGTGGAGACTTTTCTAGTGCCTCTTGAGGAGGTTTAGACAGACTTAGGATGTATTAGAGACTGAGTTGTGTGGCTCTGGGGTGAGGTCCATTCACTCTCCCATGTACACCTGACTAGTGTTGCCCTCCCTGGGCGGGGATCCTCTACTCTCACCCTCCCAACTCCTGGTGGCCATGTCCTGCTAAGCTCATCCCTTCAGAGAAGTCTGATGGCTATTGCCGGCCTGACCCCATGATGCAGACTTTCATGGAAGACTCTCAAGGAGGTCCAACCAAAATTGCAGCAGACTGAGTTGTGTGGCTCTAGAGCAGGGGCCATTTATCTTTTGCATGCTCTACTGGTGCCACTGTTTGTGTATAGAGCCCTCCCCCCACATGGGCAAATCTTGGTCTGTTAGGGCCAGATGAACTCTTCTGGCCTCACCCAGATGAGTCTCTGAGACCCTGCCCCACCACAAAGTTCTGTGGATACCCAGCAGTTGGTGAGTAGCCTTAGTGTAATCTGGGACTTTTACTGAGTGGCCTCAGACCAAGCACTGGCCTCAAGTTTACATATGTATCAGTGACCACTATTCATCCCTACCTGGTGATTCACTGAGAAACTACCTCATGCAACTCATGTACCACCAGAAGCTTCTTTAGTGATGGAGTGTTGGGGTCCAACCCCAACAGGTCCAGGGGTCCCCAAAGGTGTGGACGGAGTCGGCGAAGAAGGAATGACACGGAGACAGCCTTCAGTTGATCAGCAGCCTAGTCAGGACCTCTAGCCAGGATCTCCAGCCAAAGTTCTGGTTAGGATCTCCAGCCAAAGTTCTGGTTAGGATCTCCAGCCAAGTTCTGGTTAGGATCTGATCAGGATCTGATGATTATTGTCTTGTTACATCTGTATTTATACCAGTTGATTTTAATCCTGTCAATTTCTATTGCAAAGGTTAGGGCATTTCTTATCTCCATTCCAGGGAGT